ATTAGCTTTAGGAGTCAGCAGCCTTCCATTGCTTTTAATGGGGCTGCCTACTTGCAGCTAATTACAGGAACCTTCGCTGGGGTTCTCGCAGGTAATTGCGGGCAGGGTGCATTGTGTCCTAAATCATGTCACCTGCCTGGCTATGTTGTCTGCCACAGCCATGTAAATGAGGACTGGGTGGAAAAAATGACAAATCCTTAATCCAGCTAAACACAGCTACCATTTATGTATTTCCTTAGTGTATTGAGCTATTTGCCTGGAGCTTAGCTTTAAATGTAAATTGTACTTTAAATGTACTTTCATGAGAACATTAAGAATTGCACACCCCATCATGTCTCTGCATATAAAATCAGGTTTCTTTGTAGAATTCCAGTAGTGTTTCATATTGCCCAGGTAGTCAACTATCAGACAGATTTTATTATTTTTTTTTTTTTTTTATTTATTATTATTATTATACAGGATTTATATAGCACCAACAGTTTGTGGAGCACTTTATAACATGATATAGGTGTAAAAGAAACAAAAAGCCACACATGTGGCCATAGAGTATGATGACCATCCCCTTGGATAGGGTTAGGAGGTTGCAGTAGGATACTCTACAACTTGATGACAGTGTTCTAAGATGGAGCCTTAGGTGTAATCCCTTGCTGGAAGCAGATGGAAGATGTCTTCTGTAATGGCAATGTAGTAAAGAAGCCTGCAGTAAGTGGCAGGTAGACAGAGCTCTTCGGATCACTAGCCAGTGATCCCCTTAGCTGGGCCCTCAGATGACTAGAGGACAGCATATGGGGGTTAACAGCACCAGGTTCCTGAGATCCCACAATGTCTGTACTCACAGACTTTTGTAGAGCAACCGTCAGCCTCTCTCAGGTATACCAGATGGATCCTCAGCAGACTCCTCATCAGTCAGCTTTTAGAAGAATCAGGGCCACTGGTCAGTTCCAGATTTAGGCCCTCAGGTCACCCACCTGAGGCCTCTTGGCTGCAGGTACTAGGGGAGGCAAGCCTGCCTCAACCTTGGCTTGGTGCAATCCACTCTGGGAAGGGCCCTAAGCCCATGTGCTCCCAGAACATAAATACCAGCTCCCAGCATGCTTCCCTGTAGTTGGCCAGAGCTGTATTCATATTCATGCTGTTCATTTGCCTACCTCCCACCTATGTTCTGCAAAGCTCTAGTGGTTTCCAGAAGGCAGAAGGAGTTCTAGGCTAACTAAAACAACATTGGAGCACCATGAGCTGCCATGACTAATACATTGCAGCATTCTGTGAAACAGAATGCCAAGGACAAATGTACCTATTAGCTCCCTTGTTAGGCAGAACTATGTATGAACTAACTATGTCCATCCTAGCACCTATATTAGGAAGTGCTACAGATCGATCTATCCACTGATGCCAAGCTATGCTTAGGGTCATGTTTTATATGATAACTCTGCATGTAAACTGACAGTAGTAATAATATGGAGAGGAATTTGTCAGCCGTACATTCTGCTGCCTCTGTTTAGGGTGTGCCTTCAGGAATCAGGCTTTGCTATGTGCTGTGCTGCTCTCTCTGCAGGTGTAGCCGCACCCTGATCTAGGTGATGGCATCGGCTCTTCATCCTTCTACCCATGTCATACATGCCAGAACTCACATTCGCTCTCACCACACCTAGATGTACTGCTATATGAAAAAGTTCATGATCTCATCTTTGCAAGCTTCACAGACAGCACCTGCACTGATGAAATTTAACAAGACCTTTATACTGAAATATTTGCTGTATATCTTTTTAGTAGGGAATTCAATACTAGTAAATTAAAAAAGAAAAAAAAAAGAGAACATAGATTTTTTAAAAATAATTTTTTCAATAACAAAGACCTTTTTAATTGTCAGCTCCTAAACATTGATGGATACTAGAATTCGACACACCAAATCTGAACTGAGGTTTCAGTTCATGCAGATATCATTCTATAATCTTAACGTCAGTCCATGCGTGCAATGGGAATTGTGGTGATCTGAAAGGACTGGCGGTCAGCAGACTTTATAAAACTAAGTAAACCAATCATAAGAGAAAATATGGGGCTTCCATTTGGGTTTCATTGATTGATTTAATTGATTTCATGCTCCTGGAGCTAGTATGAAGATCAGAAAAGTCAAAGACAAGTTACAAATCAGCAAATCAAACTGTGGAAGCAGAAAGGTCAGCACAGCAGCCAGGCAACTTGCACTAGAGGTCAGCATGGCACCATACATGTTTGTATTAAAAAAGGTTTCCTTCTCCTTTATAACTTAAAAACCTTACCACAGTCGAACAATAAAGGCACCTAACAGAAGCACCCTTTTTTATTCATCGCTATTATACTCTTTTTTTCAAATGTGGCTCAATGCATACAGTTGTACAAGGGCTCTTCAGAAAGTTTCTGCACTTTTTTCATATATATATATATATATAGAGAGAGAGAGAGAGAGAGAGAGAAACAAGAGGTCTTCAAAAAGTTTCCCCATGTCTCTAACAGAAAAAAAATTTATTGTGGTTTTTTTTACTTAATTTTTTATATTTAAAGAAAAGTGAAATTCTATTTAATAAATATTCTTATATTCCTGTAGTGAAACAAGGAACAGATGCCGTAAAGGACACTGCCAACCAGTGTGCCAACCAGTGTGCAGAGCAAGGCCAAAAAATTGCTCAAGAAGGCAAGTTATTTCTAACATTAGAACATTTAAAATTGTCTGAAAATTGATTTCTGTATAAGTATGTTAAATTATTCCTTAAAACTATTTGTCTGTACCTTCCCAAATGTTTTTTATTGTTGAAATTGGATCCAATGGTATAAAATTCTTGTGATTTGCTCTGTTTTGCCCCTAAGGGTGGAAGTAAGATATAAAGAAGTAACACAATATCATTCACCTTGATAAACCATTGACCCAAAGTTGGCAGATTAGTTTGCTTCCTGTTAGTAAAAATAGAAGTAGCCAAGGACATTTTTGAGGAGCATATCTATATGCTCCTCAAAAATGTCCTTGGCTACTACTATTGTTCGTATATGTCAAATTAAGGGACGAGGATATAAAGCACACAGTATATTGGATAATCTACTTCTATGCTTCCTGTTAATGGAAATGCAAGCCTTTGCTGCACTTAGTAAATGAATAAGTAGGATTTTTTTTCTAGACAAAAACATTAGGTACAGAGAAATTGTTCCTGGGAATGTACATAGGAAAATGTCAGTGAGCCAGTGGATGATATTAGTCACCCATTGCCAATCACCAGCATGGCCGAATTGAAAGACCACCATTGGCCTCTCAGGTGCGGGCAGAATTTGAAAAGAATAAATTGTGTCCTGTACAAATCAGTGATGATTTTGTGTATCCTGATCTTCTGATATTTAATACAGATCTATAAGTTAATGGGTAAAAAAGTAGTGTCCTATTTTTTTGTTAATCTGTAAGTGTAATGTGCAGGTATTTTCCCCACAATCAAAGGAATAAGGGTTCCAGCAAGGGGTTAGAGTTCAACAGAAGGTATTAAGATGTAGAGGGAGTGACTTTTGCATGGAACATCTCCCCTTGCACAGCTTCTCAAATATAGAGACAGTTCTAAGAAACTGGTGAGGTTTCGAGTGGGAGTGGAGCAAATGGGTTAACTGGGATTGCCTCCAAAATATTAGAGAGGTCAGAGCTGATGTGGAGTTCATCTAAGGTTATCCAAGTACTGGTGGTAATAAATTTATCTGCTAGCAGGTATTGTTCTGTCTCTCCAATCTAAGCATTGAAAGTGTGATCTTTGTAACTTACAGTTATGATGAGATAGCGATAACTCCAATCTCAGTTGGATACCACAGTCAGTGACTCAATCGAGATGATATCTTGTAGATCTTGTGAAGTTTATTCCATAAACTGAGAGAATCTTACAACAATGAACATCTGATAGGTCAAAAAGATAATAGTGTGACCAGGGGCGGACTGACCATTTGGAAAATCGGGCAGTGCCTGAGGACCCGGGGTCAGTAGGGGGACCCATGAGATGCCCCTGGTACCTTTTTGATAGGCTTTTTTGAGTTTCATGATCCCCTATTGCCCAGGGGCCTCATGAGGCTAGTGTGACCTGCTTCATGACATGAGGCTAGAAGCTGCAATGCCTTACTGGGAAGGGGGTGGGCTATCTATACAGCATTAACTAAACCAAAGGAAAGGGAGGAGCAGAGACAAAATTACAGAAAACACTTAAAGGCATATGGCAGTCAATATGACAGTCATGTGAAACATGACAGGTATCCTTTAACAAATTCTGGGTTTAAACATGTGATACCACAAGGCTAAATGGAACCCCAGCTAAACCCTTTTTCAGTTTTTGGCAGGGTTCAACAATAAAACCTGATGGAGCTTCTAAACCTTTTCAACTTCAACTGTTCAATTATATTGACTAACTAATGAATTTTTTGCTTCAGTTTTGTTATGCAACTATGTATGATTATATATTAGCGGTCACCCAGGCTCTTTTAACACTGTTTTTTTCTCTCCCTCTCTAGCTGTAGACAAAGGATGTCAAGCTGCGAAAGAAGCTGGAGAAAAGGCAACAGCAAAAGTGAAATGTGGTTTCAAGAATAAGTGAATATATGTACAGAGCATGCATTTTGTTGTTTATCTGATTTATCAAATTAAACAATTAAAATGTATTTCCTTTGATTAAATGTACATTTCCCAAATCAACATGTCTCTATCATATCTTGATGACTTTATTGTGCAAATAAAGCCTTAGTCTATTCTTTTTCTGGTGGGATTCTTTGAAGTGAACTTGAGGTGAGCTTGTACTTGATCAGTTGTAAGTCATGCTTTAGTACTGTTGAAAAGCAGCTTGGATGTAACTGGTGGGAGTAGCGTTATCAACCACATTTTTTTAATTTACAAACAACAGGTTAACAGGCAGCTCAAAATGTTCTAAAAACATACATACATATGTTAAAATAATCTGAATCATTACTTTCTTTTTATTTTACATCACCAAAACTATATAAAATTGTATTAACCACTTCTCATCCGGCCCATGTATATAAACGGACGGATGGGAGCAGTGCAGGAGCAGGTTGCCGTTCATAAATGGCGCCCGCCATTTTAGCCTGTCCGTGATCCGGAACACCGATCGCTGTACGGGACCTCTGTGTGAGGTCCCGATCATGTGATCACTGATTGGCCAATCAGTGGTCACCTGAATAGTAGTAAGCAAGATGTCACTTCTGACATCATTGCTTACTACGTGTGAAATCTGTGAATGATCACAGAGGTCACATGGTACAAGGCTATTCACAACAACCATGTACCATGTAACAAGCTGTGACCAATCACAGCTCTCAGAGTATTTCTCAATGGCTGCAAGAATGCAGCCAGACAGAAGGAGAAGTGATTGCTTTTACAGCCTTTATGGGTGTAAAAGCAATCAGTGTAAAAAAAAAAAAAAAAAATCTTCATGACCCCCCACAAGTAGTACAGTGTCACTATGGTGACACTGTACTGCTAGGGTGACAGTATGTTGAAAAAAAAAAACATAAATGCTAATATAAAAAAATTAAATAAAAATGTAAAAAAAAATTTAGAAAAATTATAATTTTTGGTTATAAACTAATTTGGGTTATTTTTTTTTTACTAAAAAGATAACTGAATAAATGTTGGCCAAGATTTATAAAGAGAGATTATTTGTTTGCAAAATTTTATAAGAAAAACACTTTTTTTCAAAATTTTGGAATTTTTCATTTATATAGCAAAAAAATAAAAATCCCAGTGGTGAATAAATACCACCAAAATAAAGTTTTATCTGTCTCAAAAAAATGCGAACAAATTAACATGAGTACAGTGTTGCATGACCGCGCAATTGTCATTCAAAGTGTGACAGCGCTGAAAGCTGAAAATTGGCCTGGACAAGAAGGGGGTAAAAGTGTCCACACGTGAAGTGGTTAATACATGAGATTTGCAGGAACAGTCCTCCTGCGCTGCCAACCGAACCATAATGACCCAAAGTGGCTGCAGACACCTAACTATATTTCAAAATAGTGAGAATAAGAGAAGTGAATGGGTGCTGCGCTGCTTGGTGCAGAAAAAATAAATCATAAATAATAAATGAATAAAGGATTAGAATCAGAAGATGAATGCACATATGACCCTCATCCAAGTGTAAAAACAACATATGCAAAAAACATGGATAGGTGCAGACAATATCAAACATCAATAACGGCAGCACAGTGTGCTAATAATGTGCCAGTGACTAAGTGAACACAAGATATTAATAATAATAAAAAATTGATATGTTAAAAAAAAAAAAAACATAATGTGATACAGTGAATAAGTCCCAAAAAGGATAATAACAGTCCCAAAAAAAAAACAGGAGCACAATGGATCTTCAACACAAGCCGTGAAACATCCAGTGAGGAAATTATATATAATCAATCCTCCACCGGCTAGTGTGTGTGCTCACCTCCAAAATGCGACCCACTAGCCGAGATATAATTTCATCACTGGATGTTTCACTGTTTGTGTTGAAGATCCATTGTGTTCCTGTTTTTTTGGGGGGGGCTGTTATTATCCTTTTTTGGGACTTACTATTCACTATATCGCATTATGTTTTTTTTTTTAATACATCAGTGTTTTTTATTTTTAAAATCTTGTGTTCACTTAGTCACTGGCACATTATTAGCACACTGTGCTGCCTTTATTGATGTTTGATATTGTCTGCACCTATCCATGTTTTTTGCATATGTTGTTTTCATACTTGGATGAGGGTCATATTTGACAAATCAGGGGGCCCCCGGGCAATAGGGGATCATGGGGCCCCTGTGTCCTTGCCCAAACTGCCTATGAAAAAGGTACCAGGGGCATCTCATGGGGCCCCTACTGACTCGGGCAGTGGAGTTTCCAAATGGTCAGTCCGTCCCTGGTCATATGTGCATTCATCTTCTGATTCTAATCCTTAATTCATTTATTATTTATTTTTTATGCACTGAGTAGCGCACCACCAATTCATTGCTCTTAATAAATGAGATTTATACATTCCAAAATACATACATGACAGCAGGTACAAGTCAATCAGTATTCATTCTACAGTACATAAAAGTAGTTCTGCCTGTATACTGTAGATGGTATACTCTTTGCAACAAAGCAAACAAGTAAGGCACATTTATTTCCTATGTTATCACTAAAAATCATAACCTAATTTGTTCAAAATACCTAACATGTAAGCTTTTAAACCTAGTATGCACAAATCAAAAATATTCTCTTTATAAACTAGTCTACTGGAACATGAAAGAATATGAAAATTGTTCTACTTTTTTTTTTCTTACTTTTTATTTATCCAAATTTAAAAAAAAAACTGACATATATTATTTTTTTATATCAATCAGTTTTTATTGAGTTTTTTTTTTTTTCTTAGTGTTTAGTACGAAGTGGGCATACCAGACCTGGCTTAAAAGGAAAGCACGTTAGACCTGATGATTATTGGGTCTAACTAGAAGGTGAGAGCTTTGACACACTGGTGAGGGGTTCTGCACAATAGAAGTTAAAGTGATGCACATTCACAGAAAGGACACAGTATTTTCAGCACAGTTTAATACGTGAAAGACTCATTTCTTTTAATTTTTACTTCTTTAATATTTTTTTGGACACACATGATTGTTTAAAATATGATTTGTGATACCATATAAATGGATTTTGGAAGAATTCCTTTGGATTGATATTTGCACTGATGTTGACGATATATGGTTTGTTATAGTCTTGCACGTAGTATAGATTAACTGTGAAAGGAATAAAATAAGAGCGCACTGGCCTAGCGCATTATCCCAAATAACAATTTCTTAAAATGTATGTAAAAATTATACTCACAAACGAGTGTAGACAATTTGCATATAAATTGACAGTGACAAAGTACATGTCTCCATAATGAGTTAAAAGACCTGACGTCAAAGAGGTGCCATCCAAGGCCCAAATGTGGCTGACGCTTTTCGAGGGTAACCCTCTTCCTTAGAGCCTCTGAAATGCGTCAGCCACATTTGGGCCTTGGATGGCACATTGACATCAGGTCCTTTGACTCGTTGTGGAGACATGTACTTTGTCATTGTCAATCTATATGCAAATTGTTTGTCTCGTTTGTGAGTATAATTTTACCTACGGTTCAATAAATTGTTATTTGGGATAATGCGCTAGGCCAGTGCGCTCTTGTTTCATCCCTTTCGCAGTTGCTTCTGCTCATCTACTTGTCCATCATGAGAGCTGCAAGACTATGCCTACCCACTGGAACTTCTTATACGTCCACATTTCACTGACTTTTGCCATTTCCAGCTTTCCACACTTATGCGCAGGAGTTTTTGACAATATTATACTGTACAGCATTGTTTGTCATCCATATTGGAAAGGGACAGAAAATAGACAAAGTTCAAATTTTAAGACTCCAGCTGAGACTTCAGGAAAAAAATTGGAATTTTAACTTTCCCCTTTATTCTATTAGGGCAATCCTGAGTAAAACACCAGAGAATCATCCCTTGAACTAATCTTCAGGCACAATATCCATGAAAAAACATAATGTCCTCACTTAACAGATCTGTATTTTCAATGTGTGGAAAGTTGCCTTCCACATTGCCTTCAGCTAGAGAAGACTAACCACCCCATGCTGTGCTGGGTGAGCAGTTTTAATGCTCAATTACAGTTACACTTTTGTGAGTTCTTTAGGAATCTATTGGTCTCCTGTCCAGCTTCATCCACTTCCAACCCCTCAATTAATAAGTACTTACATTCTGAATAGCACCTCTTGTTCCAAACAAACTCCATCCACCACAGATCCCCTACATCCCCCTACCATGGTGTACAGCGGAGAAGTGTAGTTTTACATTGGTGGTACATGGAGAACTGCCCCCAAATATTTATGTTGATTGAAGTAGGGATGTGCCCCTTTACATTGGTAGTCAAAGTTATAGTGCCCCATTTACAATGGTAGTCTGTGGAAGAAGTGCCCCAGTGGTGGTCAGTGGAGAAGTGATCTCTTACAATGGTAGTAAATAGAGAAGTGTCCCTTTACAACAGTGGTTGGTCAAGAAGTGTCCCCTTACGTTGGTGGTCAGTGGCACAAAGAATGTCCCCTTTCATTACCAGACAGTTAGAAAGTGTCCCCTTACATTGATAGCCAGAGGAGAGATGCCATGGTGGTCAGTGGAAATATGTACCCCTATATCAGTGGTTAATGGAACATTGCCCTCCTATACTGGTAGTCAGTGGAATAAGGATCCTTATACATTGGTGATCAGGGGAAAGAAGAATGTCACCTTACATTGGTGGTCAGTGAAGATGTCCCCCCAACACTGGTGGTCAGTGGAGAAAGCCCCCTTACACAGATGGTCAGTGGAATGAAGAATGCCCTCTTACATTGATGGGTAGTGCAGCAATGCCCCCTACATTGGTCTTCAATGGAACAGTGTCCTCCTACACTGGTAGTGGAATAAGGATCCCCTTATATTGGTGGCCAGTGGCAAAAGGAATGCCACCTTACATTGGCAATCACTGAAGATGTTCCCCTACACTGGTGGTCAATGGAGAAAGCCATCTTACATTGGGGGCCAATGTAGTACCCCCTTTACTATTAAGGCCAGTGAGGAGTTGTCCCCTTACATTGGTGGTAGGATGTTTCACCCTTACAATGTTAAACACACATCAAAAATGTTTGCTAAATAAACAGTTGTAGTTAATGCACAAAGTTTTCGGGTAAAACAAAATGATAAACAGGCTGTAATAGTATCAAAAGTATATCCATGTCATTACAGCACAGTTACACAATTACAGCATAATTAAGATCACTATCCCAAATAGACAAACAAAAATAGTGTGGGGAGCTTTCTGGTTTATACAAGTATTACCTAACCTCAGGCTTCTTTAATTAGCTCTGATGTGGAGACAGAGCAATGATTTTTGGTTTCCCTAATGTATACCCTCTTGTATCTATTAGCAGCAAGCTGTGACTAACTCGTGATGTGATGAAATGTGGTGTTAGTCTATGATTGTGTTATAATGTCTGTTAAAG